ACTGGGTGTTCACTCACTGGTAAGAGCTGTTCCTTTACTTGGTCTTCTTACTTCTTGTTATTTGAACCACCAAAACTTTAAAACAATGTTATGTAAAGTCTCTACAATTTTTTTACATAATTTGCAACTAGTAACAAATATGTTGACGCTGTCATTTAACTAAAATTACGAATTTTGAAATGAATATGATTTTTTAAAAGACAAGCGAATTTTAAGTGTTCCTTCACTGGTTAGCTTATCCTACTTACGTTTCCTTAAATTTTAAACTCGAAAGAGAATCATTATGGAGCAAAATCCCAGACTGCAGAGTCGGGTAGACAGGGGATTTTGCAGATGTAACTTTTCAGGTCATATATTTATTGTATTCAGAACTCGAAACAATATTTTTTCTATATTCTACATATTTCTATATTCCAACAACGTTTTATATTTCTATATTCCAACAACGTTTTATATTTCTATATTCGAGTTTTATATTTCTATATTCCTACAAAGCAAATATGTTAAAACTTTTACAAATATTGAAGACCCATTGCAATTTTGACTCCTTAAAACAATTGTTGACATTTAAATTCTTTCTTCCCAAAAATACTAACTTAATAAAATGTACCATGCGATTTATACAACGAAGGATATCACACAGCGAATATATTTGAATTCATTACTTAAAATTCATTCATTTATTACTTTGAATTCATTAAAAAAATATTCACGAAAGAAATTCAAAAACGGAATCAAATGCTATGTCCGCTTTCCAACATAACTGCGTTCATTTTCGTAAACACGCATTTCGAGCTGCGTCCAATTTCTTAAACACTCATTTCAAGCTGTGTCTATTTTCTAAAATTTCTTTTTTGAGCTGTGTTTATTTTTAAGAGCATATTTTAAGCTGTGTTTATTTGTTTAAACACGCATTTTCGCCGTGTTTGTTTTTTAAACACATATTTTGAGCTGTGTCCTTAATAAACAATTTCCGACGCGATGTTTTAAAAATAATTGTGATTAGAAGCTACGTGTTGCAAGTCTACAGACAAAATTAACATATTTCTTTGTAAATGCATTTCGAATGTGTGGTGTGATTTGTTCTGCCTGGGTCACCAAAGAATCCTTCCATATAAATTTCAACGAAAATACTTTTTTTTTCAATTACAATGAAGAAGGCCTTCTTCATTGTAAAATGTCAGTATCATATGAAGAGATCTGGTTTTTTTTTTCAATTTACCCAAGGCATATACAGAAAAAAGAAGTTTCGATAAGCTTAGTGACGAAATTATCTATTAAATAGAATACTAGTACAAATAAATCGCTCTTGATTCAAGTAACAAGTTAAGTTTTTTGATTGGAATGAGAAAAAAAAATCTCATGAAAAATATTTTACGATTTCATCAAATATTATAGATAAATAAGAAAAACGATAAAATTTTCACACTTTTCAGATTCTTCTTCCATGAAAACTCATTGAATATATAAATAAAATAATAAAAGAAACAGAAATAGGTTTTAAATAAATTATAGATACACTGAAAAAAATCAGATATATTGAACTTAGGAGTGAAAAAAATTTAAAACCATTCATCCATTTTTCGAAATTATTTGTTATAAGCGTTCGATACACTTACAAAGAGAAGCAGGACATTTTTTTTTAAGTAAGAGAGGGTAAGTTCAGTAATACAAGGGTTTTGAAAAGATTCTAGAATGTTTGTTGCTCTCAAGTTTGGATTGAGAACAAAATTTAATTAAACTTTACTTGAGGTGAATCGAAATTCATTGATTTTTAAATCTTGCCAAACAGCGTCACTGCTACCACAGGGGAGAATCGAAAATCGAATGTTCTGCCCCAATTGTTGTATTTCACTTATTTTGATAACTTGAAACGTTTCTCCATTCCTTTTGTTCCCCTTGTTTTTTTGCTTTTTTTTCACGAAAGAAGCATATGTTTTGATGTTTTACATTTCCTTTCTCATTTCTCCAAATTTTTTTTGTATACATTTTTAAAAAAAGACGTCTTTCGGATTTGATCACGTGAACTTATAACTTAACTATTTGTGGGACGAAATTTATTATTATTTGTTTTGATAAATTGCTGGAGACTAATTGTTAATCATCAATTGAAAAAAGGAAATCACCAATTTAGTTAAGAAAATTATTGTTCACCCTGTCTTAATCTGCAATATTTAAATTATATTCCTATCGATCCCTTTGTATTCGTAAAATAAGCATTTGTTTTGATATTTTAAGTTTCCTTTCTCAACTTTTTTTTATGTATATTTTTTAGAGGATGACGTCATTCAGACTTTATCAACTGACCTTATAACCCAGCTATTTGTAGGACTAAATATATTATTATTTTTTTTTACAAATTGATGGAAACTAATTATTAATCATAGACAGAAAATAAAAAGTAATCAGTTAAGATAGAAATTCATTCTTCACTCTGTCTTAATATGCAATACATTCATTAACTGTATTCCATTCTTCCCCTTGTTTCTTTTTAGTGAAAGGAGCATGCATTTTGATGTTATACGTTTTCTTTCTCATATCTCAACTTTTTATGTACATTTTTAAAGGAAGACGTCTTTCGAATATGATCACGTAACCTTAATTTGTAGGAATAAACCAGCTATTAGTAACCAGCTATTTGTAGGAATAATTCTATTATTTATTTTACCTTGATAGTTTGATGGAGATTAATTGATAATTACCGACAGTAAAGAGAAAGTCATCAACTAAGTAAGAAATTAAATCTTAACGCTGCTATGCATTTGTTACATGATTAATGTAATGAATGCATTCAGGGCGCTAAAAATGAGTAAAAAATTACATAAACTGTAATTACAGGTATAAGTGTTATGAACCAGTAAAGACAATAATAAGTAATATCTCAAATAACAGTGTAGCGCACAGGATTTGAAATATTAGGCGGGTAAATCAACTAACTAAGTTCAGAAAACTACAACAGTCACAGGTAGACTACTACTCTACTCTGCAAGTCACACTCCTATTTACAGAGTTTTGGCGAGGAATCACCAAAACTTTTAACACGATTCTAGACGATTCTCGCATTACTTCGTATGCATTGGCTCCAAAACAATAATTTTGGAGCCAAAATGGTTTCCCCTGTCACCAACTCACCAAGGTAATAGTCAAGTGGGCGAAGTTGTCGCCAAATCTAGTCCTTCATAAAAAATTCATTAAGCATTATTTTCTCTCTAAATTACATTTGAATTTCACGAATTTCTTGCAAATTTTCTAATTAAACTGTTCATTTAAAGTCCGTCTGAGACATTTAGTCTCATAACAAAAGAATATTCTTTTACAAATTCGTAACAATATGTAATGTGACACAGCGTGACGCATGTCAGTATTATCAATCAATTATTACACGTATAAGCAAGAGCAACTGCTAATTGCACTTAGAAATAATTGCTCATAAAAGCATTTTCTACGAGAAATTAGAAGTATAATTGATATCTACCAAAAATTGTATGTATAAATAAAAAGAACCAGAAATTACTTTCATAAGTAATTTCAACAAAAAATTACACGTATAAGCAATAGTTAATTACATAAAGACTATTTCATCACTACCAACATTATAGAAAAGCAAGCTCTTTCATTACTTGAACTGCTTAACAAGATTTTTTGAAGTTCTTTCGTTAAGGAAAATAAAAAAACCACAGTTATTACCCTTCTCTTGAAGCAAAGTTATAATTTTAAACTATATATGCCGTCTTGCCGTGAAAAATATCTGGGCTGTAGAACGGAAAAAATTACTTAAATACTTTAAGAGTTATTAAACTTTCCTGAAAATCAAAAATTTGGTGATATTTTTTTCACCTAGAGGAAATCTATAAAAATCAATGATTTGTTTTCAATTTTTAAAAATTTTTGTGAGCCTAAATTATTCAGTATTGGAGTAATTTTTTTCAATATTGAAAAATTAGACCACAAGCGCTTTGCATTTTTATTAAACACATTTATTCTATTTTATTAACGTCATCCATATGAACGTAATCATAGTGTGCATTGGCTAAATATTGGCTGAACTACTTGACGCAACTTCATCAGTGACTGTTGCAAATTCACAACAGATATGAAAATAGCATATTATTTTCAAAAAGGAATCATTTCATATGACGACATAGTCGTCGACAAGCATCCTTAATTTTACACATACTTTTAAACTTTCAAGTTAATGTATGGATTAAAAATTTTCTATTAAATATACCCCATCCCTATAACAAAAAATTTCCGATATAAAAAAATTATACTGGCTTATGAAACACCGGTTCCGGTACAATACTGTGCCTAGTATTATACCTGTCCCAATATTGAGTCGAAACCTTTGCTTCCTAAGCTGGTATCAAACCTGATCTGATAATCATACCGGAACTGGTGTTTCATAAGCCGGTATCATAAGGGTTCCAGTATCATACCGGATCTAATAATCAAACTGGAATCGGTCCTTTAAAAGCCAGTATTATTCAGTTTCCAGTATGATACCGAATAAGATATCACATCTGAAGCAGTATTTCACATACCAGTATAATACCAGAACTGTTGTTTCATTAGCTGTCAGCATACTAGAGTCAGCATATATTGGTACTAGTATACCGAACCCAGTATACTGGGATGGTGTTTTAAAAACCCTTCTATTTTTAACAAAAGTACTGTATTAAATCAATAAAAAACCTGTTCAGTGTTTTAAGTTTATTTAGTTTTCAAACGAATATTCGAAAGCATCAAGGGTATTATTTAAAGCAAAATTAATTTATTGTTTCCCTCTTGATCTATTATTTACTTCTATTATTATTTTAAAATTATTTTCCGCCAACTTTCTCAATTATTTTGCTATTTTATTAAGCCATTTTACTTTCAGCTTCTGATGAAACTCCTTCAATTTTTAAACTGTTTCTTTCATCCTTTAGTGGATGCTTAAATATTTTCAGAAATAGTGAAAAATGGCATAAAAAGAAGATAAATTGGATAGTAAGTCTTACCTAAAACTCCAAGTCGGAAATTAACGGTGACTACGACAACTTTTCCATAGCTGGCCAAAACACTTCCGTCATAAGGGTTTCCAGCATTCCATTCGTATGACTCACCATGTATGAATACCAATACTGGGACCTTGACGCTATCTCTTCCGGTTACACCTACACAAAAGGAAACAAAGAATTAGGTGGAAGTTATATTCACACTGCCTTACACAAATGATAGCAGGAAATGAATCATCTGAAAGATACTCTGTCTAGTATATGGTTTTCGGAATTTGGCCTCAATTGCCTTTCTTCCAAAGGGCACAGAGCCAAAGGATTAATCTTCAAAGAAATTTGACGAAACAGATGGCTTGAAACTATTTTTTAAGAAATTTTTATACTAAACAGACAGTAATCTTCTTTCTAAGGCATACAATATATAATGTGCGAAGGATATAATGAAGTTTAAAATTCCGCTTTCTTTAAAGCTCTAGATAAATTTTTTTAAAGAATATTTGATTTGAAATGAATAATGTTTTTTTTTTAAATAAAATTTGAACCAGAATTAAAATATATATACTATAAAATCATAAAATCATCTCGTTTTAATGATTAAATATAATTTTGTATTTAACTTGAATTTCATGTTACTAGAAATAATGAGTGTTTTAAAGATCATTCATATATTCTTTGTTTTAAAATTTTCTTGGAACTTTTTAACAAAGAGAGATATAGGTTTAAAACCTTTTTTGAAAAATACCAATAGTTGAAGACAATTTTTCAGCTTTGTCCATTATGACATATTTATCTTTTTAACTTTCATAACTATTCCGAAAATAATATGGTTTAACCATTTATGTTCAAAATGATAAGTTTAAAATAAAATAAGGAAAATCATTCCACGAAATCTTTTCTTAAATCTTATTAAATTTCTCATAAATAATTTTTATTAAAAGAACAACTCATGTTCGGGCATTATTTTCTTCTTAAATGCTAAGACCTTTACCTCTTTGGTTACATTTTTCTGTTTAGTTTAATATTAAACTTTTCCCATTAGTGTCTTAAGCAGCCCTTAAAATGTAAATTGATATATGGTTAAGAACAGTTATAATACAGTTTTGAATCCTGAAAAATAGGTATAAGCATCTCAAAACACATTTTATTATTATTATTTATTATCAAATATTATTATTTATATATTATTATTATCAAATTTGTCGCCCTTTACAGAACAAACACAGACTCTTCATGTTTTCCCCACTTGGCTAACTCACAAAGAGGATTAGGCTGGTTTCTAATATAATTTTAAAGCATGACGAATGGCCTAGTTATTCTAATACTTGAGCAAATAGCAAAAAAAAATGTATGGCTAAAAGATTTTTTTTATCAAATTATGATGCACTTAAAATAGCATATAATAACTCCATAAGACGAATGTGTTTTCAGTGGTCAACTCACAATATAAGCATGAGAACTGGCTGTAACTCAAAAGTAATTTTTTTCTCATATGTGGAATAATTATTTTTTTTTTGGTTAAAAGAGATAAACTTAGACAAGAAGACATCTTGCAAAAATGGCCGTTTTGACAGATTTCTCTGTAGTTCCGTAATCTACTCATAGTTTTAATGCAATTGGCAATGATATACTACGTTTTTTTAAGTTATCGCATAGCAAATATAAATTTTCATTTTCCCTACTCGTGGTTCTTAATGCCATCACATGTTGTTTTTTGTTGTTGTAATGTTTTCAGACCTCCCTGGTTTTAATACACTCCTGAATTTTCATTCTAAAATTGCAGTAAAATAAGTGGTAGCAGTCTGTCCACCCAATTAACCGCAAAATTTACGGTTAATTGGTTAAACGTAATGTTAAAAACATCCTTTTTGGTTGAAGTTAAACATATCCATCCAATTTATCTTAAAACTTAAGATAAAGAACGTTTTTCACCTTTGCAAAATTGAAACAGGTTACAACCAGTATGGCTAAAAAACATGAATGCAAAACTATACGTTAATAAATTTTTTTATAAAAACGTACAGTTTTATATTCATGTTTTTCACTAGCAATTCACTTACAACTAGCAAAATTTTAAAACCGTAAAAAAAGAGAAAATTAAGTAAAATTAATGAGACATTGGAGCTAGGATTTTGGTTAGGTAATAAGCCTTGGACTTAGGCTGTGTTTTATAAAATGAACCATCGAATGCGGTTTAAATAGTTGCCTGGTTGCTTCACCGATCGTAAGAGATGGGAAATAGTAGACTTTTTGTGTTAAGCCGATTTATTGTGCTGCCATCTATGTGTGAATGAGAGTATCGTATCCTAATAGTCCAGGGTCAAATATTGTGGAGTGCATGACACTGAAATTGCTTCATGTGCACAAGGAAATGGATGAAATATTATACTGTCAACGCTAGGACTCAAACCCATGTTCAGTCGGCCATGAGATTGACAGATTAACCTTCTCGGCTATAATATGTTTCCAGCTTCAAAGAACTAAGTGGCTTCATTAATTGGGAGTAGTTGGTACGATAAAATTACCGTATTAGGTGAACGCAGTTAATAAACGGTTTTTATCACAGTTAACAGACCATCTAATTTATGGTTATTTGAATGTTTTGCTTGAATATGGTAAAATAACAATTAACTAAATTGTTACTTAACCATTTTTTCCAAGAAATTTCTTACAGCGTATTTTAATACCCCAATAGTTAAAAAACAACATTTACATTAATTTTTTCAAAGTGTTTCATTCCATTGGTCTACATTTAAGGGCGAAAATGTATGTAATTCATCCGTTTTGTTCATTTTAAAACTATTAAATACTTCTCTTAGATATAAATCAAATCTTTCTAAATTTTTATATAATAAAAACAAAAACAAAGAAACAAATATCCATAAAACCTAACAGAATTTTTTCAGCATATTTCTAACAAGATAACAGCTTAAGAGCTTTTTAATGAATTGAGATCAGACAATTGAATATAATGCGATAAACAGTTTTTCAACGTGTTTAAATATTGTAGATAATCTGTTGCTTAGCTACCGATTTATTTAATGGTCGTTGAATTACTTAGGCTTAATTTTCACAAATTGTTTTACTCATCATCAAATTTAATTCTACCACCTAATGGAAACCTAAATTAAGTAAATCGGTGATGTGTTTAAACATAAGAGATAGCAGGAATAAAATTCAAAATTGTTTTAAAAAAATACTATCTTTCACCTAATCGAAAAAAATAAAAGCTTAAAATTTCTATTTGGTTTATAACAAAAAAAATGACAGTGACTTTCTTTTATGTTACTTAAAATAACTTTAAATTCAGTAAATATTTGATGAGATGATGTTCATGAGATTGCTGAAAAATTCGAACTCTGATATCTCAACATGTAAGATTTCGTATTTACATTTTATATCCAATTAAAAAAAATCAGTTTTCTATTGTAAGGATTTATTATTTAATTAAATTTGTTTTAAAATACTTATATAAAGAAAATACTTATAAATTGTGCTAATTAATCTCCTATAATTATTTTTTTATTTTTAAATAAGTGATTTGATATGAAATATAACTTTAGTTTTTATATTTTGCAAAGTAATAAAGGAAAATTTATGGACGAGATAATTTAGGTTATTATTAAGTTAAAGAGCTTCATAACTACTTTCAAAACATGTTTATATTCGTATAATTTGTTCTAAATACCTAATGAACACCTGGGATTTATAAAAAAAGGGAGTTTTCATCAAAAATAGAAAAATGTTTGTTATTTTTACACCTTGTAAGGAAATTGTAGAAACCAAATATTTTATTGGATAAAATAATGTTTACATGCCGCGAAGTTTAAGTGGTTAAGACACTGAACGGTCATTGCTGAGAACTGGGGTTTAATCTAAAGAGAAATTTTAAGTTCACAAAGCTTCAGATCGATTGGAATCAGCTAGTCTAAAAAGTAAAGGCGGCATGTGCACAATACTGATTAAATTGCTACAATCTTGCAATTGATCACGAAATCGTTGTGCTTCAATCTCCTTGATTGTCAACAAGCTGCTGAGGGCATGGGAAAAAATTGCGTTCATAGTGTTCAAATGACAAAATACATACTATTAAAATTAGTAAAGAAGCAAACAACTTATTTATATTTAATTTACTAAAAATCACCTATTTAATGAAGCTGTGGAATTTAATAAATTATTTATATACTGTCTGAGAAACCAAATTTACTTGCAATAACTATTTTTTTCAGAAACGGAGAAAACAAATCTGGTAACACTAAACGTATTGTACGGTAATGGCATTCTGGTAAAAAAAAGTAAGATAATTCAAATTAAAAAAACCAAAATAAACGGTATTTAAGCCATTCATTTAGTAATTCTCTCGCTTACATGGTTACGGTTTACTTTTAATTCTGATTTTCAAAATTATTCTTCTAATAACCACACATGCAGTAGATATATGAAACTGAAAAGTGAATTCAACTGAATAATTTTTGTACGACACGTTACGAAGTAGCATAATAAAATTACCAACTCTTATAACATTTACAACTTCGTTTATTAATTTTAATAATAATAAAAGTTTTTTTTTAAAACGAACAGCATCATAATAATAGCATAAATAGTTTTCATGCCATGCTCTAAGATATTGTGATAAAATTTTCATATACTGCTACAAATTTTAAAATTTTATCACATATTAACAAAATCATAGTTTTGCTAATTTTAACTAAAATTATGAATAAAGTGCTTCGGCAAAACTTCGGGGACAAAGAGATTCTTCTTATTCCTATAGAGCTGGAATCACGGTAAATTTTATATCTTTACTACTTTAATTACTCACATTTTGCTCAGTTTTAAATTAAATTTTCTCAAATTTTAAAGCAATAATTTTGCAACTAATTTTAAATTGCTCTGCAATCTTGATTAATTTTGTTGAATATTCCTCTCCATCTAACAATCTAACGCATTTCCTCTCCATCTAACGCAATTGCTGGTAAGTTCTATCAAAAAGTCCTCCAAGAAAGCAAATGTCTCTCAACACTTGATCCATGAGTCCCCTTGTCTTCTGGAGTGGGTTCAAAATTACACTTACACGGAGTTGAACATAAGTCGTTCTGAACCCAAAATTTAGGTGGGCTGTTCAAAATAAAATAAAATGGGAGTTCAGTGTTTTAACCATTGAGCAATCGTGGCTCTATTTAGAACCATTTTTCTAAGAATTGTATTGCAGAATCATACATTTAGTAACTTGTGCAACAATTCTGGACGTAATCAGGAATGATACATGCTCAAACGAGACTCTAGCGATGTTCTGCATTTATTTTATAAAGAATTTTTAATTTTTAACGTCCATTTAAAAAGATTTAAACGTTAGGTTATAAATTGCTAAACGTCCATCATATAACATAACTCAAAACTCAAGCATTTTTATTAAAAACCAAATTAAGCAAAACATTTAACATAATTATAAGTTGCACCATTCGGAAATTGAATATGTTATTGTATTTTACAAATAAGTATGCTTTTTTATAAACGATAAAAGTGATTATCATTCATTTTAACCCTATAGCAAAATTAAATCTTTCTTTCTTAAAGCAACAAAAAACGACGAAGAATTCAGTTTCCCTCTATAAGCTCATTTTCAAGCTATTGATTTTACCTTTATAAAAAATAAAAGAAATATACATTTGCAAACCAAAGTTGTAATCAGCTTAGTAAAATGCTGCAAGAATAGAAATTTAAAAGTAAAAATCAATTACAGAAAAGTGAAACATATTTTTATAAAAACATTAAAACA